TGTCAAGCCAACTGGCCATCCCCTTGGAGACAGCATTTCTTTGAAAACGGAAGGAAGGACACGTTGTCGTGGATGACGCAGTGGCGAGTACCTCAGGTACACCGGGGCGCAGAAGTGAAATAAAGGATTTTTTTTTTTTTTTTTTTTTTTTTTTTTGCCAGCCTCGGTTCCTGTAACAGTTTTCTCATTGAGAAGGACTAGTGATTTCTAAGAACTCTGCCAGGTTGATAGTATCTGTAATCATTAGAATTGTTACAAAACTAGAGGGAAAATGTGACTAAACAAAAATGAATTCTCTTACGGTCTTTTAAGTATGCATTGCATTGTGTAGCGACACATACAGACACACAGACACGCATGCACAGCATGCACACGCGCATGCACACGCACACATGCACGCACACACGCATACACGTGTTCAAAAACCCCAAATGACTGGTGCAGTTCTACTTTGTGGCAGCCAAGTAGACTAGATGGGAAAAGATCACCTTTGTGTAAACTCAGTTTTCAGAAAGTACTCCAATAACATATTTATATCCGAAAGTTAGTTGTACGCAAACAAATTTAGAAAGCAACACTTTATTTTCTCTTTAAATCTGTACTTCTAAACAACTACGATGTAGCAATGCTAATGATATCTTTATAAACTGTTGTCCTTAGAAACGTATGTTACCATCATTTTTTTTTTTGAGGAGGAGGAGGCACCTGGATTATTAACTATTTTATTTTAAATCTATTTTTTAGAAGAGTTTTAGGTTTCACTGCAAAATTGAAAGGAAAGTACATTTTCCCCATATACCCCACGTCCACTCATGAGTAACTCTTCGTAAATTAATTCTGGCCTATTATACAGGTGCATTTCCTTTTTCTAACCCAACATTTAATTAGGGAACCTTCCAAGCCCATGTAAAATTAGACAGTGGTGCAATCCACCCCATACGTCCATCGCCCGGGAGTCATGAACGGCCACTCAAACTGCTTCTTCACACCTACACATTCACACACTGGCTGCCCCTCGCCAGACTTGCTGAATTACAAATAAAAAATAGGAATACATCCTTAAAATCATCAAATAGCTACTTATTTAAGACATGTCCTCAGCTGCTTCCTGAATGTTTTAGGTGCAGTAGTTTACCTGGTCTATACCTAACCCGCTCGTAGAGGCTCTTAATAAGCTCTTTCCTTTCTCTCGTTTATTTCTCTCTATTGATTATTTTTAAAATCGGGCTCTTTTTCCTGTAGATTTTCTCAGTGTCCAGATTCTTAGGATGCATCCTCTTGCAACAACACGCTGCATCCTCTTGGTGACGTTGACCATGTGTCTCTCTCTCTGTATTTAATCTGGTGATGGGATAAAACTTGGTGTGAGTGGTTTTTTTAAAGAATACTTCATTGGTGGCATCAGGTGCTTCTATTATGAAGAATACAGGTGTCTGTAGATTCTACTTTAAGAGTGAAATGTATTTTGATAAACCCTGGCTCTATAATTACTCAAAGTTGTGTATACATTTTGGGGGGACACTGTATATACCCTAGTCCTCCCTTGTTGTGATTTTGGTGGCCAATGATAATCATTTTCTGGACCTGTTATTGCATTAGGTCTTTTCAAAATGATAATTTTATAATTTCATCATTCTTAATTGATGAGCTAGAATGTATATTTTTTTCTTCATTGCATATATAATTAGTATGAAATATTTCATACAAGAAGGACGGTGAAATGTTCAGTCTTTCCCTTTGCCAGTTCTAATAATATAACTATCCTTTTCCAAGGTGACTACTAGGGTTTCTATTCCTAGCATCATTATGACTTTATGGATCTTGATGTAGTAGATGCATTTTAATATAGTTCGGGTATTATTCTTACTGTAATAAAAGTATCCCGTCTTGGCTACAGTCCATACGGGCTCGGTGTTGTCTGGCCCCAGTGGGCTGTGAAATCTCACTTGTGTGATGTTATGACAAGGTGAGGACGGTGAGCACTCTAACAGGGAATCTCCACTCCAAATGTCATGACAGCGATATTATTCCTAACAATGGGATTACTAAAAACGGGTTAAATTTTAGTTTGTCTTTTTTTTGTCCTTTGGATAAATTACTGTTTGTTTTTTTTAAATCACTTAAAATAACGCCCCTTTCTTAACCACCACTCAAATATGGAATTAGGTTCATTTGTTTCAGTTTTATCTGGAATTTTTTTTTTATCCTCACCTGAGGACACTTTTGCATTCATCTTCAGATGGAGAGGGAGGAAGAGAGAGAGAGAAACATCGATGTGAGAGAGTCATATCGAGTGGCTGCCACCCACAGGACCCCAACTGGGGCAGGGGAAAAACTGCAACCGAGTACGTGCCGTTAGCGGGAACCAAACCTGGCTCCCTCTGGTCCGTCGTGGGCCACACTCTAACCGTTGAGCCAAACGGGCCAGGGCTGCAGCTTTTTGATAATACAAAAGTTTCACAATGAATGTGAGTGTGTAAGTCAATGTATATCCAAGTGCATCTAGACATCTAGAAGTGGCATTCCTGGGTCAAAGGGCAAATACAACGGTAGTTTTGCCAAATCACCCTCCACGGGGTTGTGCCATTCATTGTACAAATATATTCAATTGGACAACGATTAGATTTATGCAGCGTCAACTTAAAGACTCAATATGATCTAATGTCAACAAAAACAAAGAATCACCTGAAATCTGAATTGCGTTTTTATTCGTTACTCTTCTGTTGGGAGCTGTTCGTAGAGAATAGTTCTTTTTGACGGGAGCTCTCTTGGACTGCTATTTGCTAGATCTAATCCCTTCCAGCTACGCCGTGCAAAGGTACCGCACGCCAACACCGTCTCTTCTGTAAAAGACTCGTCTATGAAGCCAAGTCCACATTAGAAACTGAACCGGAATAGAAATGATCGATGTGTTCCTTGTCCATCCCTCATGGTGCATATCGGACCTTTCCATCATGAACCATAACCTGTACATTAAGAACCCGTCTCAGAAAGGCCCTAACTTTCAGACTCGGAGAATAATGAACTTTTCTAAATGTCATCCCAGAGACAGAGGCTTGCTTCCTGCGGGTGCATTAGCACGGGTTGCTGTTAGGTGCCCCGGGCTTAGAGCTGCTGAGTGATTCCTAATGACATGAGCGACACGTCCAAAGTAACGGTCCTGACGCCTTCTTAACCGCGACTCCTCACCCTCTTCTCTTTATTGATATAATGAGGGGGAATTAATTTTAAAGGGAGTGACTATCGATTACTTAATGGCAGAAGATGGTGCAGATAAATGCGGAAGCGAGGCTGTTCTGTGCCCCCCTGGGCAACACAAGCCCATTAGCCGGTAGTGGACACCAGGCCGTAACCCTCATTCATATTTAACAGGCTGGATGGAGGCTCCACATTTGCCCTGAGCATAGGCTCCACTAGTCCGTATGAACCTTTCAAGTCCACGAAAAGGCACGGATCTCTCCGCGTGCGGATGGTTTATCAGCAGTGGGGTATCCCATGCAAGGCCCTCTGGCGGTGTCTGGGCCATCAGCCTGGTGGAAATGCCCGCTGGGCACGTCGGAGTGACGGACCCTGGGAAGTCACTCTGAGTTCGTCAGCTCTGCCTGGGAAGACTGTTCCCAGGGAGGGTCTCCGTCTCAGCCTTGCTGTTTCTCTCCTCCCACCGTAAGCTGAAGGTCTGCTCAGCAGGGGTGGCCGGTCAGCAAGAGGCGTTCATCGTATCAGGTGCTGCTGCCCGTCGTCCTTGGGCTGTGTGTTCTGTGTCACACTGTCCGCCAAGCCAACCCCGGTCCCATGTCAGAATCTTTCTATTTCATATCATGTAGAAGGGAATTGGGGAGCTTCCAAGACAGCTGTTGGGGAGAGATGAGTCTCCGGGCCCTTGTAAGAATAAAGCGTCGGCGACGGCCACTCGAACTAAAGTGGACAGTGACCTCAGAAAGCGCAGTTGTATCGGTCACTGTGCACGTGTGTCACCGCCAGGTTACCTTTCCGTTCCACCAGCTTATTCTGAAAATACAGGCTTGACATGAGATGGAGTTAAGATCAAACACATCCTTGGGCTCGGTGGGCACCTGAAGGACAGCCCATGAAATGCCCTCCTGCTCCAACAGCGCGTACAATCAAACAGAGTGAGGAGATGCCAGTGTCCGGACTCCACGCCTCTGAAGACGTTTGGAAATGTGTTTCGGAGAATCCTTTACCGTACAGACCATCAGAAATTGTTTACAGGGAACTGCTTAGGATGAGTTGCATGAGAATAAACATTTACCTTCGCGGGACAAAAAGTGACCGAGGGAACAAGTCTTCCATGAGCATATTGTGTTTTTCCTCAAAACCAGTGAATGATGTTAATCTGAGTTCTTGTAATTCAATGTTACATGTGGCGAAAGTTGGTTTACTTCAAACCTCAGGCTGTACGTGACTAAATGCTGTTCTCAATTTACGAATAGATCTACTATGCATAGGCCTTCTCTTCCTGACATCAAGTGGAGAATTTCAAATTAGCAAGAGTTAGCAGTGGAAAATGTATCTGTGCTCATTTTTATATTGTTGACAAATGATCTTTATGGAGCATCACGTAGCTACTCAGATGCTTTTCTTGTTTGTTTTGTTGTTTATTGGTCGATGGGTTGATAATAGATGCCCTTCAAATGAGCAAAAATAACACTATAAAATTAAAAATTAATAGATTTTCTCAAAGGCGTCGATCACTATAACAAAACATAGGCAGACACTTTATCCACTAAAAAATTAAAATGTTGGTAATAGTTATAGCTTCAGTGTCGTTAGCCATTCCAGAGAGAATTTTTTCCCCTTTATTGAATCTCTTGGAGTGACACCGGTTAACAAAATTATACAGGTTTCAGGTGCCCATGAGCGAACTTGTTAAATACTGTATTTGCGTGATTGGTGCTCACTGAACCATAAGCTATTTTTCACTTTTATCGGTGAAAGTCACGAATCCTAACGTTCTCTCTTTTTCCCTTTTCCCATCACAGCGCAGCAGCAGCTTTGGGAACTTCGACCGTTTTCGGAATAACTCCACATCCAAGCCGGAGGGCTCAACCGAGGTTAGTATACATGGTGTTTTCTGTGACTGTTACGCAAACACAACACATTATGAAGCCAATATCACTTCGGTAAGGCACGGTGCAACAGGATGTTTAGAAAGAATAGCCTTGCCTGTATTTCTGTGAAAAGCGAGCAAACAGTTCCTTAGTGCGTAGGACCGAGCTGGGAGCGAAGACCTACCTGAAAAGCCGCAGACGGTGGGAAGGCAGGACGTGGATCTGAGAAGTTACAACTCAGCGTGACACAGACAATGCCAGAGCTTCTGAGCATTTGCCCCGTAAAACAATGTGCATGTTCAGTTTTATTTAAGTTGTAATTCCTTTAATTTAGAAGATGATTAAAGAGCTTAACAGGAAATTTTTCTTTTCTTTATTGACTTTAGAGAGAGAGGAAGGGAGAGGGAGAGAGAGAGAGAAACATGGGTGAGAGAGAACATCGACTGGACGCCTCCTGCACGCCCCCCACTGGGGATGGGCCCACAACCTGGGCATGTGCCCTGACCGGGGATCGAACTGGCGACCTCTTGGCGCAGGGTCGACGCTCAACCACTGAGCCACACCTGCTGAACTATTTTATATTTATCAAATATATTTATAAAGAATTTTTTTCCTTTATTGGACCTAGTTTCTGAAAATACCTTTCAGATTCTTATGTGCACCTATCTATAATATTTTTAAATATGTTCATTGAAATAATGGATATTCTAGACAAAAAAAAAACCTAAAATGACATCTATTATTACTTTATACATATCTCTTAGTACTATATATGCATGTGTGTATATAACATATTCCCTTTTATACAGACATATAAATACATATCCACTTTTATCCATCTGTATATTTGTATGCATATACTTATGGATAAACCTGTGTATAACTATATGATCTATCAACATTTACATAATTATAAATAATACAATATAATAGGATAGATAGATAGAGATAGAGATGTAAATAGTGAGAAGTCCAGCATAATTTTATTTGCAGTTGACACATTGTATAAACCTTTCATTTTCCATCATCATCACACACAGATACATTCTTGTAACCAAGTTTCTGATTGTACAGTTACCCAAAATGTTTCTCAGGCTCATTCAAGTCCCTTTATTAGTCACAGTGACCTAGTATTTGTGAAAGTTTAGTGAACCTGATAACATAGCCTGTGTATTTTTTCAGTAATCTAGCATTCATTCATTTATTTAACAACTATTTATTCATTAATTTAACAAACCTTTATTCTATGACAGGATTTCCACTGGGCATTCAGAAAGTACTATGACAATAACAGATGGAAATCCTTACTTCACACAGCATGGATGATAGAGGGAAATAGATGAAAACAACAATAAAATAAATAAAATTTTAAATGAAATTGTAATCAGGTTGTGAAGGAAAACAGCATAGAAAAATATTAACATTAAAAATATGTTGAAGTAGGTTCTTAAAGCTTCTGAACAGAATGATAGAAAAATCTGAAATTAAAAATATTTGTGATAGTGTTTGGAGTGTAAGTAATGGTAAATTATCACAGGCATTAGTAAATAATAGACTCTCTTATTTATTTTAATTTGCAATTTTACCTGAAGATATTTTAAGTAGAGAAAAGAGAAGAGAAAGGCGAACTCAAAAATTCTAAACTGTCTCCAAGTTATATTTTACTCAGGGATTTTTTAATTAAGCGAAGACTCTTTGTCTTTATAACTTTGAATGTAGAAGTTAATAAGGTGCAGTGAGGGCTTAAATTGGCTGTCCATTCATATTTATCATCGGCAATTTGGGGTCAGACATGAAGCAAAACATAGTATTGATTAATAATGATGTTCACTGTGTGGTTAGACCTTCCTGTTAAAATATTCAAGATCACTGCCGGGGGGGGGGGGGCGGGGGCTTCCCACGATCTTTATATCCGGGGAGTGACTAGCAGCCCATGTATCTGGGATGGGGGCCATCACTAGACTGGATGGGCCTTCAGGCCGCTTTCCGTCCAAGCCCGAGACATTAAGGACATGTAACCCAAGATTTCACAACAAAAAAATCACTCCAAAGTTCCACATGAGAAGTTTTGTCTACTCAGAACAGGCTGGGTCAGCTATGTCCCTGGACGTATTCTCAATACTCAGAATCAATTCAACAGACAAGGTGTCGAGTCTCCTGCAGCACGGACCACAGTGGGGGGTTCAGGGGGTCATCAAGCAAATGCCGGCACGTCCCGGGAAGTGTTTAGAGGAAGACATCAGGGTCAACATGCCGTGAGCACGGACAAGTGTGAGCTATCCTAACTGGGGCGATCGATCAGAAAATGTCCCTCCTGTTACATGGCCTTTGATCAGAAGCCAGGACGTAGGACGGAGCACATTTGTGGGCCCCAGGGGCGCCGGCGGCAAACGCTTGGGCAAACCTGGATGAGCACATGAAGAGAAGTAGCAAGGTCGCCGGCACCCAACACTCGATTACAACTATTCCCAACCCTGAGCATGTATCAGTGTCGCTGGAAGGATTGGTTGTAACCGATTGTCCCCAAGTGATGCTGAGGTTGCTGGTCTCGGGACCACGTCTTGAGAAACACGGCTGTAGTGAGCGAAGGAAATGCGAGAAGTCGCCACAGGTGAGATGTGAACACAATCTATGTCCTACACGCGTCGCACAATGTGACGCCTATTACCTTACAAAATACGTTGGTTCTCTTGTCACATCATCTTCCGTTATAGAGCAGTGTTCAGGTGACCACTTTTTATTGCTTGATCACCTCGTCTTTTCTAAACACTTCTAACTAGGTGTACGAGGGGGAGCCCGTCCATGAAAGCGAAGAGAAAGATAAAAACGCAACTCACGGGGGGCGTTTAGGGAAGAAAATGAGAGCCATCTCCTGGACGATGAAGAAGAAGGTGGGCAGAAAGTACATCAAGGCCCTTTCGGAGGAAAACGTAAGTGTGCTCTGCATCGCTTGTGTTTGTCTATTCAACTTTCCTCCAAATGTCGAAGGTGTCCTTCCACACGTAGATCATTGTGCTTCACGAAACACTTCAGCATCCCTCTCTTCCTCAGTCGGAGTGCCCCAGAGTGGAAGAAGGCGTTGGCGCTCCCGTTTCAATGGGGGAAATGGGGGTTCACAGAGACCGCGCACAGAGTGTGTGCAGAACGTGTCATTTATGAGGTGGCACATATCAGCACTGTGTTCCTTTTTAGTGACGAATGCTATTCCGTTGCATGCACAAGTCACATCGTGTGTGCCTTTTCATCCGGTGATGGGCGTTTGGGTTGTGGTCACTTGGTGGTTCTGATAAATGATGCTGACGTAAATGGTTTTTGTTTTGTTTTGTTTTGTTTTTTATCCTCACCCGAGGACATTTTTCCATTTTTTGCACAGATAGAGTAGGAGGGAGAGAGAGGAAGAGAGAGAGAGAGAGAAACATCGACGTGAAAGGGACACATCGAGTGGCTGCCACCCGCACGACCAGCCAGGGCCGGGGACAAACTGCAACTGAGGTACATGCCCTTAGCGGGAACCGAACCCGGGTCTCTCCGGACTGCAGGCCGATGCTCTAACCGCTGAGCCAAACCGGCCAGGGCGACATAAATGTTTTTTGTGCAGGTGTTTGCATGGAAGTATTTTTTCATTCTCGTGGGTCTACGGCAACTGTGATATTTTGAGAGACTGGCAAACTGTTTCCCAAAGCAGCTGGGTCGTTTCATGTTCCCACTAGCAGGTGTCCGGTTTCTTCACAAACTTGCCCACACGTCATTGTCTTGTCTTTTTATTTCAGATCCTCACCCAAAGATATTTTTGTATTATCTTCAGATAGACTGGGAGGGAGGGAGAGAAAGAGAGAGAGAGAGAGAGAGAGAGAGAGAAACATCAATGTGAGAGAGTCACATCGACTGGTCACCTTTCACATGACCCAACCAGGACTGGAGATGAACCAAAACCAAGGTGCATGCCCTTGACCAAAATCGAACCTGCGACTCTGGTCCAAGGGCCAACGCTCTAACCACTAAGCCAAATGGGCCAGGCCTCAGCGCCTGTCTTTTTAATGCTATCCTAACGGGCGTGAAGTAGAATCTCCATGGGTTTCGATTTGCCCTCCCATGAAGACTGACGATGTTGAAATTCTTTTCCTGTGCTTACTAATCATTTGTGTCTCTTTTTTGGAAAAGAGGTTTATTGCAATCTTTTGCCCGCTTTTTAAATGGGTTTGTCTTTTTATTGTTAGCTTTTAAGCATTTTTAAAAATAATTCTGGACACACATCGTGTGCCACATACATGATTTGCAGTAACATACATGTTCTCCATCCAAGGATTTTATTGTTGCCAACTCGATGTAGTACAATGTATCTCCTGTTTTCTCCATCGCTTACGCTTCTAGTGTTGTATCTCAGAAACCACTGCTGAAGTTTTAAAAGATTTGCTCCCATATTTTCTTCTAGGAGTGTTATAGTTGTAGCTCTTAAACTTTAGTGTGTGATTCACCAATTTTTCGACATGGTGTGTGGTAGGAATCCAGCCTCATCCTTTCGAATCTGCATGTCCAGTTGTCCCAGCCCTATGTTAAAAAAAACAACAACAAGCTTTTCCCCTTGTGTTCACTGTCTTGGCACTCTTGTTGAAAATCAGTTCATCTTCAATGTAGGGGTGTTATCTCTGGACTCTCAATTATGCTTCATTGATCTATATGTGTGATGTCCACTCTCTCCGGATCCCACCTCAACAGGACCTCTGCGCCCAGTTCTCCGGGAAAACAGTCGTCACAGGGTTGGTCTCTGTGTTGCTGAATCTAGTCCCACTCTCTGTCTCCTTCCTTTTCGGATGGATTTCCCGTTAAGGGATGATCCCATTACACACGAAACATTCTCTGTTCTTGTCTTTGTTTCCAGGCATTCTTCTGGCTTTGCTCATTTTTCAGCATTTCCGTTAGCTCTGCGTTCTGTCCTGTCCCTCTAAATGTTCGCCTTCCTGGGGTTTACTCCTGGGTGCTCCCCCCCCCCATGCTGTCTCACGAGTTTGCTTTCCGCAGTCACACCTGTAGCTATAGCGAGACCTCTTACCTGTTACACCTACACCACCGTTGCTTATTTCGTGTCATCATTTGAATGCACAATAGATATCTGGAACTGAATATATCCCAGCCATGTGCTACACAGAACATGGTTTCCTTGTCTGGTCTTCCCAGGACCAGTGCACAAACCCTGTCACCTCCAAATGGCAGTACTAACGGACAGACTGGTGGACAGATGGATGGGATGAATGGACGGACGGGAGGAAAGGAGACAACCTAAGAATTATTCAAAATTCTTCCTTTTTTTTCATTTTCCTACCGATTCATCAGCATATCCCCCTGGTTCTAACTCCAAAATATATCTGAAGCCCCTAATTTCTCCATGTAAACCGTTCACGCTTTAAACCAAAGAACCAATCTCTCCCACACAGCTCACCGTAGTAATTGCCCCTGGGTTCCCTTTCTCCCCCTCTCCCCACCCCCCACGGGAGAGCCAGAAAGAGCTCAGAGAAAAGTAAAATTCATGTCACTCCCCGGGTCTGAGCAGCACGTGTCCCCGGTGCCTCGCGGTCCCTAGCGCGCTTGGGGACCCGCCTAGTCTATTTCTCTGCTCGTGGCCAACACTGTCCTTTCTGGTGCTCTCCCCTGCATGACCCGGTTAATTCTGAGTCACTTTTATGTGGCTGTTCCTTTGGCTTAGAAAACTGTCTCCCAATCTTCGTATCGGTTACATCTCCTCCTCATCCAGTCCAGCCCTCGAGCATGTACGACTTACGGAGGAGGTCTCCGAAGACTCCATGCTCAGAGTGTTCCCCGCCCGAGTCCCGGTAGCTCATCTCACACCACCCGGCTTTATTCCCTCCCCAGCACCCACTCTCCGGCATTGCCTTGTTCGTTCTGTGTGCACACACCTCCCCAAACACATGCACACACACAGCCTGACACACTGAGATGTTCCTCACCAGAGAAGCTCCCTGTTACCGTGGTCTCTCTAGTCCCCCAAACCGTGCCTGGGACGTAGAAGGTGGTCCAGAAACTTGGCTTGAATGGACAAATAAATACATGACAAAAAACAGTCAGGCAGAGTGTAAATCAAACGGATATTCTGAAGTTTTAGGAATAGTAAAAAATGTTCAGAAAGGAGGAATATTAAATTATACTTTGACGACGTGAAGAAATTCATAGGTTGTGTCCGAACTCTCTAAAGGTGGAAACCGTCTGAGAGGTTTGCAAGCAGATGCGATGTGTTTGGAGATGGCCTGTCTTTCTAAGTTTATGCAACGCTTGCTTCTCTGGACCGCAGGCCGACGCTCTAACCGCTGAGCCAAACCGGCCAGGGCCAGACTTGTTTCTCCCTCGACTGGGTGGCAAGCGCCGCACGAGATGCGTGAAGCTTTGCTTTGCTTTCGATTTGCAAAGTGTGCATGTGTCATTCATCCCCAGTGGGTGCAAACTGTCCACACGAAACATCTATGCAGAGTTTCAACTTGTGCTATCCGATCGCAAAGCGCCCGTAATGTGGTGAATGGGTGATGAAGGGAACATAAAAAAGTAAAAGTGCTTTGACAGAGAGAGCACAGATGGATTCACCCCAGTTCACAAAAGGCACCCTTATAATTTCCGCTGAACCCCGTCGTGCGGAATGTGCTGGTGAAAGACTTGCTGCGAGTACACGCCACCTGTGTTGCTAGGAACGGAACTTAAGATGAATGATTCCCATTTCGTGCGGACGTATTCCTAAGTGGAATCCATGCACCCCGCGAACATCTCCACGGAAACCAGTCGCCCGGCCTCACCCTCTGCTATGTTTTCCCGCAGGATGAAGAAGATGGGGCGGACACCGTCCCGTGTCGGAACAGCGACCCCATGGTCGGGATCCACACAGAGAAGCTGCCCCTCCACGCCAGCGACTCCATGGACAGTCTCTACAGTGGGCAGAGCTCGTCCAGTAAGGCACTGACCCTGGGCCGCAGGGCTGGGCTGGGCTCCTTCCAGACAGCAGCTTTGCTTCTCGGGGACCCGGGGGTCAAATCAGCAGCAAGGCTCCGGGGCTTGATAAGATAAAGGGTGAAAATGTACCATGCGTTGAATCTAAAGAGTTGCTATTGTTTAAAACGGTGGTTAATATATTAGGTAGACTTACGTGTTGTTCTGGGGGTGTGCCCCAGAGGATCACGTTGCAGGGTTAAATCTGCGTCTCTAAGCTGGAGAACCAGCTTTGTCTTCAGTCAGTATTTTTAAAGGGACTTACAGTATTCAGAGAAATAAAATTCTGTTCTCTGTCTCTTCTTTCCTCCCTCCCTCACTTTGTTCCTTTCCTCTCTTTCTTTTCTTTTTTCCAAATATTTTTTAAATTGATTTTTTTAGAGAGAGAGGAAGGGAGAGAGAGCTACATTGATCAGCCGCCTCCTGCACGCCCCCCACTGGGGATCAAGCCCACAACCCGGGCAGGTGCCCTGACTGGGGATCGAACCGGGACCTCTCAGTCCATGGGACGACGCTCAATTCACTGAGCCACACCGGTCGGGCTCTCTTTTCCCTCCCTTCCTTCCTTCCTTCCTTCCTTCCTTCCTTCCTTCCTTCTTTCCTTCCTTCCTTCCTTCCTTCCTTCCTTCCTTCCTCCTCCCTCCCTCCCTTCCTTTTTCCCTCCCTTCCTTCCTCACTTCTGCCTTCTCTCACTTTTTCTTTCCTTTTCTTTCTTTTCCTTAAAAAAATTCTGAAGGAAGCAGGACATGGGCATCAATGCTGACGTTTATTTTTTTGGTTCCACCCAGCACTAGCGAGCAGAGTGAGGTAATGTGTAAATGCTAAAAAGGAGGAAGGTCACCCATTAGATGACAAACGGAATCGGCACACAAGGATTTTCTAAAGACCCTGGTGTTCTCCTGACTGTCACTCAGAGTCAGCCACCAATCCCGCGGCCGTATTGGGGTGAAACTACGGTACCTTCTTATATACCCACTGCTTCACATCCCTCTCATCTCTTAAGGGCTTTTAAGTTGGTTTTTGCCCTTTATTCTTCATTTCATTTTAAATCAACTGCTTCTGTTATTTGCATTTCGATCGCAAAGAGCAGGTGTTTTGAATAGCCTGAGTGTTATTCTTGTTTTCCCATTGGCTGGAGAACAGTTACTTCGGGAAAAGTGACTGCAGAGGCATCTGAGGGCTACATTGTTGCACGTGTGAGATTCAGGTGTCATTTGTATCCATTTCTGCTGCAGTTCTGACATTCCCCTCCTGATGCGGAATGTGGGCGGAATGTTATTAGCTTGAATGTTCCCTGAAGAGCCAGGGCCTGGGTGGTCACGGAGGGGCCGCTTACTGTTACATACACTCACTTCTGCAGTTAGACGACATCCACCCCCCTCTTACACCAGTCCCTATGTACCGCGGAGCATCCCTGTACCTTGTTTCCACGAGTACTGTTACGCATGGTGGAGAAAAAGAGGCTGTCGGTCATCGGGCTACGTGTGGAAAGGCCCGATAAATGCTTCGACCCTGCACCAAGAGGTCGCTGGTTCAATTCCCGATCAGGGCACATGCCCAGGTTGTGGGCTGATCCCCAGTGAGGGGCGTGCAGGAGGCGGCCAGTCGATGTTCTCTCTCATCCATGTTTCTCTTTCTCCTCCTCCTTTCCTCTCTCTCTCTAAAAATCAATAAAGAAAACGATTGTTTTTTTAAAAAAGTTCAGTTTAGTACAGTTTCCAAAGTCAAAAGCACAAAATGGATCCCCAGGCTTGTCCAAGGAGTTAAGTTCTGTCCGTTTCTGTAACAAGCACCCAGTACTCAGCAGCTGCACCGGACGGGGTCACAGACCAGAGACCACAGGCAGAGGGTCCTTGGGTCGTGGCTGGGGAAGGAGCGGTCAGGCTGGCTGGAGAAACGTCCCAGCGGCCCGAGGACAGCGGTCGCTGGTGGAGAGGGACTGGGCGGCAGGAACAGAGTGGGGGACGCAGACCATCCTCAGGAGGGCGGCGCTAACGTCCCCGCGTTGTCCCTGCTCAGCTGAGCTCCCAAGGTCATGACCCCTCAGCCCGGACCCCTAACCTCTGCTGGCCTCCGCAGGTGGGATAACGAGCTGCTCCGACGGCGCCAGTAACCGGGACAGCTTGCGGCTGGACGACGACAGCCCCTACTCCGGGCCCTTCTGCGGCCGCGCGCGCGTGCACACGGACTTCACGCCCAGCCCCTACGACACCGACTCCCTCAAAATCAAGGTGCGCCCCCGCGTGCGCTTCGTGTGCTCTGGGCGGGGCTGGCTGGGGGGGGGGGCTCGGTGAGCGGGGGGGGGGGCTCGGTGAGCGGTGGGGGGCGGTGAGCACGGTGGGGGGCGGTTTGCGGTGAGCATGGGGGTGGCGGTGAGCACGGGAAGGGGTGGTGAGCACGGGGGGACTCGGGGGGAGCAGTGAGCACGGGGGGGGGAGAACGGTGAGCACATGGGGGGGTGGCCAGAGGAGGGGCGCCGGGTGAGCACTGGGGGGGTGCGGTGAGCACGTTGGGGGGTGGCTGGGGTGCGGGGGGGCCGGGTGAGCACTGGGGGGGTGCGTTGAGCACGGGGTGGAGGGTGCAGTGAGCACGGGGGGCGGAGAGCGGTGAGCATGTGGGGGGGTGGCTGGGGGAGCGGGGAGGCCGGGTGAGCACTGGGGGGTGCGGTGAGCACGGGGGTGGGAGAGCAGTGAGCACGTGGGGGGTGGCTGGGGGGCGGGGGGCGCCGGGTGAGCACTGGGGGGGGCAGTGAGCACGGGGGGGTGGCTGGGGGGCGGGGGGCGCCGGGTGAGCACTGGGGGGGTGCGTTGAGCACGGGGTGGGGGGGGCAGTGAGCACGGGGGGCGGAGAGCAGTGAGCATGTGGGGGGGTGGCTGGGGGGCGGGGAGGCCGGGTGAGCACTGGGGGGTGCGGTGAGCACGGTGTGGGGGGAGAGCAGTGAGCATGTGGGGGGGTGGCTGGGGGGCGGGGCGCCGGGTGAGCACTGCGGGGGTGCGTTGAGCACGGGGTAGGGGGGACAGTGAGCACGGGGGGCGGAGAGCAGTGAGCATGTGGGGGGGTGGCTGGGGGGCGGGGGGCCGGGTGAGCACTGGGGCAGGGCCAGGCGGCGGGCTCCCAGCACAAGGCGCAGACAGGGCGGAACCCGGCCCGGCAGGGAAGCAGGGTCCCCCAGCTTTTCCTGAAGGCGGCTGTGGTCCTCCCTGAAGTGAGGACTGAAGCAGAGGAGAGGGGGCGGGGGGGCGGGAAGAGTCCGCTGAGCAAAGGCCTTGGGGACCAGACTTGGCCGGGGCACTGTCGCTCTTACTCTGAGCCCGAATCCCTCTCCCGACCCGCGCCCTCCGAGCGCTGTTCCTGTGCAATGAACTACCCGCCCGGCGCCTCCAGCGCAGGTGGCGTTGGTCATCCTGCTCTGCAGGTCACCCTTTGGACGCGGCTCATCGGCCGAGGGTCTGCTGGGCTGAAATCGAGGTGTCAGCCGGGAGGGGATCCCTGGGGCCAGGCCGCCGTCCACGCTCGCTGGCCCCGGGCGGAGCGCCGTCCTGCGGGATGTCCCCGCGACCCCCCGGCCCTGAAGGTGGCCGGCCCTGGCCTTCCCTCCCGCACGGCAGCTGCTCCTCCCAGGCCGGCAGCAGCAAAGCCCACTCGTGTTTCTGATCGCTTTACTTTTAAGACTCCTACCTGATTAAGTCAGAAACACCCAGATGGTGACAGAATGAAGGAACCTGGGACATTGATTCCATCCGTCACACACCAGGGCACAGTCCCGAGGGGGAAGTCTGTCGTTCCCATTATCCCGCTGCACCAAGGGAAGGAGCTGTTCCAACCGTGCAGAGGGAGAAGGTGCTGCTAACGACGTTTATAGATGTTCAAGTCCTCCCTCTAGGAACACACAGTGTGATCTGGGTAAAAGGACAGAGTTTATGAATTTTTATCTTTTTTTAATTTTTTTTTTCTTTATTGATTTTAGAGAGAGAAGGAGAGAGAGGGAGAAAGATGGAAACATGGATGAGAGAGAACATGGACTGGCTGCCTCCTGCACGCCCCCCACTGGGGATCAGCCCACAACCTGGGCATGTGCCCTGAGCGGGAATCGAACCTGCGACCTCTTGGTGCGGGGTCGACGCTCATCCACGGAGCCACATCGGCCGGGCAAGTTTATGAATTTTCGTACTGTCAACACAAAGCCAGTGGTAACTCATATTGGCAACAAGTTACGAAGTATCGATGCTATTATTTAACATTGAACGCATCAGCTCCTCTGTGTGTCCACTCTCCGGGGAGAATGGGAAACCTTGTTGCCCTCCGCCGGCCCTCTAGTCGTGTCCTGGCCCCTGTCTTGGAGAAAGGAGGTTGAGGAAGGGAACCCACGGAGCAGGTTTCATTCGGGGAGCTTTGCACCTCCCCACGGTCCTGCAGCTCGCTCCCTCCGGTGCTGCCTGAGGTGGTACTTGGAAGACCCCTGGCCCCACAGTGACCACCCAAATTTGAATACTAACGTTTCTATAAAGGGTCTCATCCGAAATGACATCGAGTCTTTGCCTGGTGGCCTTCTCTGGAATGCACACTTGTACACGTTTGAGAGGTAACAGGAGGACACGGGCGAGGGCGGCCGTGATTAGAAACTTCCTGGAGCTTCTGGGCGTCTTCTGGGTCTGCTTAGCTGATGCCGTTGACCTAGGACCTGGTACCCCAAGAGCGAAGGCAGGAAAGAGCTAGACGAACCGCTCACAAGGTCGGACAGATCTCTTCACCCTATTGAATCCGACCTCACGGACACAATTTGTGTTCAGATGTTAAAATATACACTCCCCGAGCAGCAGGACAAAAATAGTGTCCATGGCTGACTTAACGCTTCGTTAGTTCGAGGGTGGGCCCCTAATATGGCAAAACTGTCAGCAACTATCATGTCTTCTATCCTGGGGTACAAGGTAGAAGTCTCAAGGGAGTAACTATATAACGATGCCTCTTATACGTAGACATTGTATCTGCACAGATATCTGTTTCCTTTACAGATAATTGCCGCTGCGGGGTTTTCTGCTCTTATCGATAGCTGGCCGCTGGTAGCCAGGTGGTCCCATGTGAGACCACCTTGTTGGTTTCTCCGTCCCAAAGTGCCCCATTGCCTCTCCAATCCAAACTTTGTCGGGGAGCTCCATTTCAGAGTCATTTCTCTAGAATAATGAAATGGCAGAGTGTATCCTTAGTTCCCACATACTTGTATCATGCATTCGGTGTGTGCGCCATTCTGAACACGTCGATGATGTCAGAATGGAATAGTTCGGATGTTTATTGATTACTTTTTCGCATGAGCTAGAAGCACGGACTTCCCTTCCTGCCTTTTCCACATGGGAGCACCCGGGAAGGAGGCCCGAGGGCTGATCCGACGTAGTGCTTTGACGGGGTGCATGGGAACAGCGTCATTCCTGAGACCAGACAGCCTAGTCTTGAGTTCTGGTTCTGCCGCGAATTTCCTGCACGCCCTTGGGAAGTTACCTAATATTTGCGTTTCTTTTTCTATAATATTTAGAGTAATAATGGCACCCCGTATATGTACCTAAGAGGCGTGTTGGGGGCGTAAAATCGCTTTATGTATTTAAAGCGCTTTGCAAATCACATTGTGCTCTAAATAAAAGTGGGTGACTTGACCTGACGCCAAACATAAGCCCACGTCATCAAACGCATGCAGGGCCTTCTCTCCACGCGTGTCGTTTTCTTCATTGCCACGAGGACATAGCAGCCCCAAACTTTTAAAAGAAATGTCCTCTTAGGTTTATTTGTCCTCCTGGGATGCTGCCAGCACCCTGCCCTCACTGTTGCACGGCGTACGACCCCATCGTGCCTGCCTGCTGCCGTGGCTCCGGAGTGCCCTGCAACCTGACGTGCGTGTCTCTCTGTCCTCAGAAAGGAGACGTCATAGACATCATCTGCAAGACGCCCATGGGGATGTGGACGGGGATGCTGAACAACAAGGTGGGGAACTTCAAGTTCATTTACGTGGACGTCATCTCTGAAGAGGAGGCGGCCCCCAGGAAGACAAGGACCCACCGGAGGAGCAGGACGGAGCAGTCCGAGTCTCTGCAGGAATTCTTAGAGAGGCTTTGCCTCCAGGTAGGCTCACCTGTGGCCTGTGAGACTCTCGGGGCAGAACAAGTCAGGGGAACAGATTGACGCTCGCACAGAATTGTTGCAAAATGCATGACTTCCAGCGAAGGAATGTCTGTTTCCCAAGAACAGCCGTTATGTCTCCTTTATGACCTTCTATTAGGCGAGTACAGGTCTTGATAGAACAGCCTTTGGACGAAACTGCAGTGGTGCCCAGGAATGACAGCAGAGATGGGTGTCGAGAGAGTACAGGGAAAATGCAAAGTCCCTAGGAGATTAAAGGCCCAGAGAAAACATGGCAGTGGGCACGGTGAAGAGAGCGTGAAGAATAAAAGTGAAAATCCAGGCGTCCTCCATGGACAGATCCACGTCCCCACTGCTTGCTGGTGGGAGTGGGCTTCTGGTGATGTCCCAGGAAAAAGGATTTTCCAAAACTCACGCAGAAGAATGAGGCTCTATTCCCATGGCCTACACCCCTGAGTTTCCAAAGCCCCATTTCCCGTGTCCCGCCAAGGAAGGGGTCCCGCTGTGCTCTCCGCGGGGCTGCCATCAAACCCGTGTCCAGAGTTCCTACCATGTGGGGACCCGGTCTAATCCAGTATCGGGGTAACCCAGTGTGTGTCCCCAGCTGTAGCCCATCAGTCCACCGCAAGTGGGGTCCACGTGGCCACATGGCCGTGGAAGGAACGTGGGCAAATGCAAGGAGGGGGAGTAAGACAGCCGAGGGAGAGCGTCAGCGCCTTCCCTTTGGGGGGTTATGTACGCCCAGACTTCTGGGCCCTTGCAATGGCCCTTCCTACTCTGGCCAACCCGTGGTTCCCAGGGTAACACAGGCACCGTCCCCGGGTCACCCCGACTCACTGTCTGTGCGCCCATCATCCCCTTTGCCCGGCCCCTCCCCCAGTCACCTGCAGGGAATGGGTCCGTGGTTCCCAGGGGGGTGCAGAGTTACAGGCAGGTCTGGTGACGCTGCCCAGATGCCGGGCCATGTCCGGCCCCCCTTCTGCCCCTTTCCTATGGCATTAAAGAGACTTGAATGAAAACAAAGCTGTATTTTCTATAGAGCAGGGATCAAAAGCAAGTGGAGTGAAAATAAGTAAATGCAATTGTTTTAAAAGTAATCTGTGCCCTGGCCAGTTTGGCTCAATGGTTAGAGCGTCGGCCCGCAGACCAGGGACCCGGGTTCGGTTCCCGCAAAGGGCACGTACCTCCGTTGCGGTTTGTCCCCGGCCCCGGTTGGGGTCGTGTGGGTGGCAGCCACTCGATGTGTCTCTCACATCGATGTTTCTCTCTCTCTCTTCCTCTCTCTCTCCCTCCTGCTCTATCTGAGGATAAATGCAAAAGAGTCCTGGGGTGAGGATTAGGAAAAAAAGGAAAGTAATTTGTTGGGAAATAGTGACCACTAAGCCGGCACAATAATTGTGCTAAGAAAACTGTTGTCTGTCTTCATAACCCAATTATTTTCTCATTATATGAACGAAATAGCTATCTTGTGAAATGGTGTGTTTTGCAATCCATTTTAAAAATCAACACGGTAGTACTTTGAGAGTTTTCCAGATTCATTAAGGCAAGAGCCAATTAAACGTTCCTTCCTTGTTTGTCTAGTTAGTTATCTAATCACTGTCCTGTCTCTTCCTATGTGACTCCGGGGGCCCCCGTTGAGGGGCTCCTGGGACAATACAAGTTTGAACCCTACCTTCCCTGCTTGCTTGTTCCAGGACTATGAGACCACCTACGACTAAGGAAGCGAAATCGCTGAGTCACGAGCCCACGGGGCGGTGGTCATGTCAGAATGGGAATTGGGGTTTTCTCTGATCTGAGTCAGGGTCCCTCCCTTCTAGGGTACTTTTTAAAAGAGTTGCTACTCTTTTTTTATTTTTATTTTCCCACAGAAAGGGCTGCTGAGGACCTCTTCCTGGTTACTTACGACTTTTCTGTTTCCTCTGACTCCATGTTAATAGTTAAATTAAGGATTTTGAAATAGTAATGAAACAACAGGGGAGGGATTTTTGGAGGAAGCTGAAAACCATTCGACATCACTTTGTTTATTTGTTTTGTTTTGCTGTTTTTATCCTCACCCGAGGACATGTTTGCATTTATCTTCAGATAGAGCGGGAGGGACCGAGGGAGGAAGAGAGAGAAACATCGATGTGAGAGAGACACATCGAGTGGCTGCCACCCACACGACCCCACCTGGGGCCGGGGACGAACTGCAACCGAGGTCCGTGCCCTTAGCGGGAACCGAACCCTGGACTCACTGGTCTGCAGGCCGACGCTCTAACCACTGAGCCAAAGTGGCCAGGGCTCGATGTCCCTTTGAACGTTGACGCTGTTGCAAATGATGGATCAGACATGCAGGTTGAGAAAAGGAAACAATACTTTTCAGGCAAACGTTGCATTGAACAGAAAGTCTTGGATTCCTTTGGTTTATGACTCAAATCCTAAGCCCACTTTTTAATATCAATTGTATCTGTTTCAAATTCATTTTTTAATCCACCCCCAAGAAATGAAAGAGGGTAGTTGCTTTTGCAATCAAGCAATCAAGAGATGTCGATTTTACCCAGCTGGTGTGGCTCAGTGGTTGAGCGTCGCCCCTGCACCAGGAGGTCGCCGTTTCGATTCCCGGTCAGGGCACATGCCCAGGTTGTGGGCTGATCCCCAGTGGGGGGCGTGCAGGAGGCGGCCAGTTGATGTTCTCTCTCATCGATGTTTCCATCTCTCCCTCTCCCTTCCTCTCTCCCTAAAATCAATAAAGAAAAAAATTTTTATGAAAAGAGGTGTAGATTGAAAAATATTACTCTAATACACTCTGTCAAAGGCATTTTGTGGACACTCCAGCTTCCTCAGTTTAGCGATTTGAGAAGTGAGAAATGCCAGGTGGGGGATGATGTCACTGTGCCGAGGACCCCTTATTCAGCACTGCCTAGCTCAAGGCAGTCATGTCTCCATGTCTGTCCTTCCAGCAGGTCAGAATCGCACCACATCCGCCTTTAGATGCCCGGGCGTGTATGTGTCGAAAACCGACGGAAGCGAGATAAAGTCAAACGAGCGTTTTTTTGTTTGTTTGTTTGTTTTTTATCCTCACCGGAGGACATTTTTGCATTTTTTGTTCAGACAGAGCGGGAGGGAGAGAGAGGAACAGAGAGAGAGAAACATCGATGTGAAAGGAACACATTGAGGGGCTGCCACCCGCACGACCAACCAGGGCCGAGTACCAACTGCAACCGAGGTACATGCCCTTAGCGGGAACCGAACCCGGGTCTCTCTGTACTGCAGGCCGACGCTCCAACCGCTGAGCCACACCGGCCAGGGCCAAACGAGCGTTTCTTGAGCGCCTTGGTTTCCATGAGCATATCCGCACTTTCCGTCAATCTACAGAGAACTAAACACAAAGCCTGTGCGTCCGACTCATCCGAGCTCGCGTGTGCTTCCTCCACACAGGAATACACGTCCACGCTTCTGCTCAATGGTTATGAGACCCCAGAAGACCTAAAGGATATAAAAGAGAGTCACCTGGTGGAACTGAACATTCAACGCCCGGAAGACAGGATGCGGCTGTTAGCAGCTGTGGAGAACCTGCTGGAGCAAGACGGTAAGTTTGCCCCCTGCCGTCCGTCGTCCTGCTGAGAATCCCCGTCTGGGGGAAACACCGAACTCATCGCAGCCCCCCGATTCAGTTCGCTGAGAATTATGGAAAATGCCCTTTCCCGTAAAATAAGTATTTTCTTGTGTATTTGGAAACAGCAACCCAGGTCAAGGGTATAATTAGGAAGAGGATTTTTTTTTCCCCCTCATTGGACTCAGAAAACGGAAGGTCTTTCCGGGGCCCCTCATTCAGATTCTGGGAGCTGTTAATTTACACACCGGCGCATGTCTGCTCTCCTGACAGCTGGGGAGGTAGAGACACATATTCGGAGACAGCCTGGGCCATCAGTGAGAAATGGCACAGGCACCTTGTGTGGACCAGCCCCAGCCTGGCGCTTAGCGAAGGGGTCTCTGTGCCCCACCAGGAAGTTCGTCTCGTTCCCCTACAGTCACATGTTGCGTGTTCAGAACTTTAGCAGAGCTCCCCGACGCATTCGCGCGCAGTGGTATCAGCTGAGGCTGCGGGGATGTGGACGTAGGACCTGAGGACCGGGGGCGCACCCACGGGCTTTGCTCCGGTTGTCCAGGCTGACACTCTCCTCCCCAGATGGGGTCAGTCTCCCAGGACGCCGAGTTCAGACCATGCCAAACTCTGCAAGGAGTATTTGTTAGGGGAAAAAAGGTTAGTCCGGCCGGTGGGGCTCAGTGGTTGAGCGTCGACCCTGCACCAAGAGGTGCCGGTTCGATTCCCGGTCAGGACACATGCCCAGGTTGTGGGCCCATCCCCAGTCGGGGGCGTGCAGGAGGCGGCCAGTCGATGTTCTCTCTCATCCATGTTTCTTCTATCTCTCCCTCTCCCTTCCTCTCTATCTAAAATCAATACATTTTTTGCCCTGGCCAGTTTGGCTCAGCGGTTAGAGTGTCGGCCTGCGGTCCGGAGAGACCCGGGTTCGGTTCCCGCTAAGGGCACGTACTTCGGTTGCAGTTTGTCCCCGGCCCTGGTTGGTCGTGCGGGTGGCAGCCACTCGATGTGTCCCTTCACGTCGATGTTTCTCTCTCTCTCTCCCTCCCACTCTATCTGTACAAAAAATGGAAAAATATCCTCGGGTGAGGATAAAAAAAAATAAATAAATAAATAAATAAAATCAATACATTTTTAAAAATTAAGAAAAAAAAGGAGAGCTGTCTAAGTTTAAAGATGAAAAAGAACTTAGATCATCTAATCTAATCTTCTCTTTTCAAAGTAATAATAATAATGATGATGATGATGATGATGATAATCACCAACTACTTTCTGGAACATGTTCTCTGAGGAAAACTTTAGCCAGGTTCCTCCCAGGTACTAGGCACCGTCTTGAATGCCCCCGGGGCTCCGCGTGCTAGGTGGCACTGTCCCCGACTTTGCACCTTGGCCAAGCTCACGCACCCAGCGGACTGGAGAGCAGGCCCAGGGTTCGTGATGCTCGGCTGTAACCCCAACACTGCAGATGACAGCCCAGGTGGACAGCGAGGAGGTGCATTCGGGGCCCAGGCCTGCCGACCGTCCCTCCATGGGCTTTCCTGCACCCTCTCTCTGATGCCCCCAAAATGGGCAGAGTTGCACAGCGCACTTCATATATACTGGCCTGTTATCTAGTAGGAAGTAATGGATTTTTTTAAGACACTGTCCCTCCCTTTATTTTTCCACTTGCTGGCGTGAGTTGGCATAGATCTTCATCCTTGCGAGAAAGTTTTCACAGGGCGACTAACTTGGCGCCCGCAGAACCGATGCCATCTTCAGGCCCAGGTGGGGGTGTGCGTTCTCTGAGGTTGTTGAGCGAGGGGAGCACAGGGGAGCACAGGGGAGCACAGGGCTCAAGGGGGCACAGATCAGCCTTCAGAGCCAGGCGCTCGACAGTCCAAGCCCGAACCGAACTGACCGGCTCAAACAGACGCGGCAATATCTTTCAGGACAATGAGGCGGTTGTGGGTTTTGTTTAGTTTCGTTTTCATATCTCGTCACTTCAAAATACGTTTCCTCCCTAAGCAAGGTCAGGCAAAGAAATAGATCCTGTAGAGTTTTTGCAGTGGATGATGCTCAGTATCATTGTTGATGCTCTCCAAAATGATTTTATGTTGAAGTAGAGGGAGGGAGAAGACCGAGTGTTTGTTGAACCCTTGGACACGACGGCTTTTCTTCTGGAGTGCCACCCACGTGGGTATTGTGTCCATTTCGCAGATGAGAAAATATTTCAGAGATGCATTTCAAAGAGGCCAAACAGCTAGCTAAATAACAGTCTGCTATAAACATCCACCTTTTGCCCTGGCCAGTTTGGTTCAGCGGTTGAACGTTGGCCTGCAGACCAGAGAGTCCTGGGTTTGGTTCCCGCTAGGGGCATGGACCACACACAAAAAAAAGATTGTAAATACCCACCTTTTTTCCTCCCCACATGCGAACCGATAAGTATGGAAAGAACAATGAATATTAGAAAAAGTTGGATTTCTACAACTTTTCCAGTTTTCTCTGCAGCTTAAGTTCAGTTTTCCATCTCAAAAAGTGAAGTTAGGCCCGGCCGGTGTGGCTCAGAGGTTGAGTGTCGACCCTGCACCAAGAGGTCACTGGTTTGGTTCCGGTCAGGGCACATGCCCAGGTTGTGGGCTGATCCCCAGTGGGGGGCTGGCAGGAGGCTGCCAGTCGATGTTCTCTCTCATCGATGTTTCTGTCTCTCTCTCTCCCTTTCTCTCTCTCTCTCTAATATCAAATAAAGGGAAAAAAAAGCAAAAGTCAGTGTTTGAATTAGAATGGGAACCTTGGATGGGCAGATGCCTGAAAGGTAGGGGCTGTTGTGGTCGTTTGCAAAGGATTTATGACTAGAAGGGGCCTGAGAGACGGGGTGGGGGGGCGTTCAGCTGTGGAACCGTTCCAGCGGGGACCCACAGAGGGACGGTCGTCCGCGCCACAGGCGGGGGCTTCTCACCGCGTCCGGTTAACTCCCCTTTCCAAGTCCTCGGTCACCCATCTCCTTTCTCTGCAACAAAGAAAGCTGTATCCGATCCAAATTCTTCCTTTGCAAATCGGCAAAACCAAAACTAGAGTAGGTAAGTGTGTGCGTTGCTCAAGGTCGCGTAGGTAGATCCCGGGCTCCTAAGTCTGGATATTAGAAGCACGTACTGCCGTACCCTGAGCTCTGAAAACAAAACACAACAATATCTCCGAGGCATGATGGGAACGTCGGTGTTTGCTATAAAAACGTACAAATCTCACAAATGATCTCCTTTATGCAACTTCAGGAAATGGCCCTTGAAGGTCACTAGAAGTTGATCATTTAATAATAGCCACTAACGTACTAACGTACGGACACGGAGCCCAATTCTGGGAGATGAAAAATGGGAAAAAATGCAGATTCAACTAGTGTTTGTTGTCAACACACCACACGGAGGTTTTTCTTATTTTAATCTCACGGTCTCACGTTAGAATATACATGTCAAAAAGATGCATATTACATGCTGGGCTATCCTGACTGAAGGCGATTTATCTTCGATGAAACTGTTTCGCTCAGGAAATAAAGAAGGACGACTTCTCTTTGTCGAGAAGATGCTGAGTTCTGATGATTCGGCACCAGGCTGCCAGCTCCCACGTGCTTATTTTTCTCCCTGAATCATATCTGCCATGACCACGCTGGAGATTAAATGCATCACCTTCTTGTGCCTTGAATGATAAAGACCTTGAAGATGTAGTTATATAAAACTAAGATAAATGCATGTCACAGTCATAGGTTAGAATTAGCGTGTGTGCGCGTGTGTGTGTGTGTGTAGGAACAGAGTATGCAAAGTGGCCAGGAGGTCATGTGTGCATCTTGTCCTGACCGCTGAATAATGTCAGTTTGGAAATGTCACCCCAGCCCTAGTTTAGAGCTTTGTTGCTTCTTGGGTCAGAAACTAGAAATGTTTTGCTCTGCTGATCACTCAGTATAAACACTGAGCAGAGGGGGCACCTGTGTTTTGGACAAGAATGAAAACTTTGCGATACTGTAGAAAGACCACAGCCCCCTGAGGGTCTTAATATGCCCAGAGAAGCACGAGGATGGGGGATGGGATGGGGACAGAAAACGGACACCTACGACTCAGGGCAAACAATTTCCCTCTTCTCATAGGCCCCAAAGAGACAGCCCTGCGCCCACTTTGACCTTGACAACGTAAACCACAGTAAACGCTCCAGGTTACTGCTTGACAGGAGGGACAGGTGCTTCCCTGCCCAGCAGACGGAAGGGCTGGCAGTGGTGGGGGCTGATCTCAGGGTCACCCCTGGGGGAGAACCACTTCGGGGTTCTGCGATCCCCGCCAGACGGTACCGGGGTATGTGAGCTCGCTGCGGGGCTGCGTCAGAGCGGAGGAGAAGTAGGTTGCTGGCTCCCAGCTGGGGATCCAGACGCGGTCAGAAGAAGAAGAACTGGGGCGAGACTCCGCTCTTGAAGGAGTGACGGAGCAGGAACTGTTTATTTTGTGCGCATTTGGGTTTCTCTGTTTATCTTCTGAATTTTAAAATGGTCTGTTTACTGAGAATAAACATTCCCAGCAAGTAAAAACACGAGAGTAGAGAGAGTGTGTGTGTGTGCGTGTTTCCGCAAACACAACCTTCAAGACCCCTTCACCTTGCTGAGAAATGTCTCTGTAGAAGGTTAACTGCTGTTCACAGTAACTCCTCTCTCTTTATCCCGAAGGCTTCCTTCTGTTCCCACACTTGGAAACCCTTTGATGTGTCTGAAAAGTGCGTGGGAGAATGCGCACTGCTGTCCTTGGGGGACGTGTTTTCCCTTCAGCGGAGGGATAATTAAATTTCAAATTTAAAAACATCCTGCTGGCAGAATGAGCAGACTGGACCGGGATGTGTGTGGGGCCCAGGTACCCGCAGCCTTGCCTGCTGTGCTCAGTGAGGAGGGGAGGGCGGGTCGTGTGCCCAGCTGTTGGCACAGCTGTGGTCGCAGCAGCCCCCCTTGCTCCGCGATCCCCAGTTGTGCCCTCCTGTCT